CATCATCCTCGCTGAATCGGATCTTTCATTCCACCGTGCAGCCACATATGACATCCATCTCACCGCAAGCCAAGCCTACGTGTCTGGTGTGTGGTCACTTGGCCAGCAAGTGTGCACTGACGACATGCCAGTGTGGTGGCTGTCTCAAACAACATGCCCTCAGCAACAGCCCAAGTAGAGGGGTGGACGGAACCACGGATGGGATGGACCCGACGGGTAGTAAACGACTCATTCTGCAGCCGACCAGCGTAGCCGTTCAGCGACCAAATCGATGGTCCCGCAGAGCACGCTGGCCAGTTTCATCCTGTTGGCGCAGACCAAATTGGTGAGTTTTGAGCGATGAGGTATATAGAAACAGAGGTGAGCACCGTGCACAAGAGCAGACCCTGGAATGGTTTGGCTGGCACAAAGTGTTGCAGTCTTACAGATTTATCTGTCTCTTCCAGCGGTGGTCTTGATTGATTGGGAGTTTGGCTGGCACAAAGTGTTGCAGTCTTACACAGCATGTCTGTCTCTCATTCTTTCCCCAAACTCAAACCAACAACACCCGGGGGGGTATCCAAACAACCCCCCCACCCCCCAACACACCACCACACACCACCACACCATACCACACCACCAAAACCGGAAAACCGGAACCGAAACATTGCCATATCCTATAGACTATCCACGCCGCACGACACGTACGTGTCCATGCGCTACATACATACATACGTCGTTGGCCAATTTTGGCCAGCGAGTGTGTGTGCGTTGAAGACATGGCCGTGCGGTAACGGTCCCAAGCAGTAGTATGAAAGAAGTTCGGCACGATCCACGATCCATGATCCGACGACGGGTAGATGTTCCTCCGCGTTCGCGTTCATCCTTGATCCGGGGCGATCTTTCATTCCACCGTGCAGCCACATGGCATCCATCTCACCGCAAGCCAAGCCTACGTGTCTGGTGTGTGGTCACTTGGCCAGCAAGTGTGCACTGACGACATGCCAGTGTGGTGGCTGTCTCAATCAACATGCCCTCAGCAACAGCCCAAGTAGAGGGGTGGACGGATGAACGCGAACGTTATGTATTGATGGTTGTCAGGCATGGCTGATTCTTTCCCTCCCACTCCTTGCTCCGTCGCTTGCGGGGCAATACCCTTCACCGAATGACAGATGCAGCGTAAGCAAGTGGTGATCCGCCTTGAGTCCGTGTAGTACGAAACCCCCACCCTCTGTCACGCGGCAGATTCCAAGGCGCTCCCAATAGTTGGGTACGGGCACGACCTCGACAGCCAAGCAGGCGAGAATATAGCCGGTTGGCTTGTGTGGCGTTTCTGGTTGGTGGTAATCAATGCAAGCGTTCGGCGGGATATTGTTATTGCCAGCTTCTCGCCTCCTCACCGTCGTGTCACACATGTGTGGCGCAACACAAGTCCACCAAGGGGGCTTCCTGCGTAACGATTGCCAAGAATCATTGATGGGATTTTCATTGAAAGAGTTGAAGGTGGGATGTCAGAAGACGTCGATTTCCGCTCCCACGATCCTAGATATCGTGGGGGATCTGTTGGTTGCATCAAATACTCTTGGGTGAGTTGAAGCCCGTCTAACGGCAAACAGCGTTTTGCCTTCGACCTCCGCTCATGAATCACGGACGCAAAGTCCTCCCCATACCACCATTGAGCCAAAAGAATCAGAAATCCGCGCACTCGTGGCGCAAATTACGTGTCGTCATACCCTTGGTCGGAGATGTCTTTGGCCCTTCCGTACCTGTATTTTGGCGTTTAGAAATGTCCCGTTTTCGAATGTCGTCCTTTTTCTCTCCACCCAGGCAGTGGCTTTGGGCAGTGGCTCTGGCTCCAGCAGATCCAACAGTTCCAACAGCTCCAGCTTGCTCGACAGCAGCAGCGGTAGCGGCCGTCTGCTGGAATTATCGGCGTTTGTACACAGCAACAACGGGTGACAACAGGATTTCCTCACTCGGGGGGGGGGGGGGGGGGGGGGGTTTTTAAACCGGGAAAAATTTTTTAGGGGCCCAACCGGTTTTTTTCCCCGGGGAAGAATTGAACCCCCCCCCCCCTTGCCTTCAAGGGAAAGGCCAACCCAAGGATTTCTTTTTCCAAAGGAAACCCCCCCCCTTTTTTTGGAAAAATTCTGGGGCCCCAAAAAATGTGAAAAACCACCCTTTTTTCCCGGCCATTTCAAAAGGGGAAAGTTTTTTCCCTAACCCCTATTCTTTT